GGGGGGGGGACTCTCATATGAAAAGGTCAGAATGCTTGTTGCCTTGTTAAGGGATGAAATCACAGATTTTGGTCTCATGTTCAGGACGAAAGGCCACTAATTTTTAGCTGTCTAGGCATCTTTTAAGTTGCCATAGTGTAAAACCACTGTCATTTCTGGTGTCTGTTAGCGGTCAAATAAAGCTTGAATCATGACCAGATTGGTCTCCTTAATTAGGGGGTTTTTTTGCAACAAATTTTCCAACTAGTAAACATTTACTTAGTGAAAACAATAAGTTTGTGTCACCTGTTCCAACAACAAATACAGATGTGAGATACATGTTACAAATAGATATAATCTATATTTTTTTATTCATACATGTAAGAGTTGATTGACAAAAGCTATATGTAGTGCACACTGTAAGACACAATGAAAAGTTCAGTTAATATCTTACAGATGGGGCAGTTATGGCTCTGCTAGCATCAGAAATAGATCCTACATCGGGTAGAACTGGTTGGAAAGCCTGAGCAGTCTTAGAGTGTCGCTTTGGGCTATCGGCATCTTCATTTAGGAAATTGAAAAAGAAGATGAAAGTTATGACCTACTGTACTAATAGTTTTACATTTGTTTTAATTAATATTTTGCTCCCTGGATTTTACTCCCTATAATGGACTACAAGGCTGGAGATAACTGTTAAATAAAAAGGAAGGGATTTCACAAGCCAAAGAAGAGAAAAGGGTACACTGTACTGTAGAGAAAACTTTCATTTCTAGTATTTTATATGTCCTTTCAAGATATCTTCATGGTAAAAAAGGCAATGACCTCAGGCAGAGCCTCCCTGACAAAAAGAAAAACATTTTTTTATGTACCCCTCTCCCTATCCTTATTTCCTGTTAAAAAAATTATAAATTTTATTTTTTTCATCCTACTGATATTCAAAGGGGTAAAGCTCTTGCATCATACAGTCTTGCTCAATATTGTAAATTATTAAATTAAAGCAGGTTTATTCACCTGAGTGAACAATGCGTGACTGTTTAGGCTGAGTGTTTTCAAATGACTGTTGTTGACTCGTGACAATCTGCTGGACTCCTCCATTGTTTCCCTCAGAATCCTCTGGGCCCCTTGAGGCAGGGATCCGAAATGCCTTGGGCCTATCAAACCGTGCACGTGGGGACACCTTGTCTTTTGTGTCCCAGATCTTAAGCTCCAAGGAATGGCTGAATAGCCCAAGGAGCACATCCTTGGTAATTGTTACAGTGTGGCTAAAATGAAATACAGTTGACACTTTGATCTGAAGTTGTTACATTCAAAATGCAAGACACGTGTTCATGTAGAAGTGCAAAACATGTAGTTTAGTATTTGTGAAAAAATGTGAGGTGAAAACCAGCAGTTAATTGCCTTAGCCTGAATAACCTTCTGTGGAACAGGTATGGATATTTTCTGGAACTGTATACAATGAGCTCAAAGAGCTAATGTAGCAGTTTGCACGCATACCGGGCCTATCATGCTGCATAATGTTGCATACATGCACACTGTAACATCATAAGTGAAAAATGCATGTAAAACATGGTGTAGTACATGTACGAGCAAAGGGGTGTGCAGTGACATTGAAGCTGTTTGCACACATTGCATGCCTACAATCTTAGACATTGAAAATTCAGCTTGCTACATTGGGCTATTCCAGAGAAAATCTGTACCCCACTACCCCCCCAGACAGATGGATTTCTGTAAATTCTCTCGTGAGGGGGAATCAAAGGCTATGGAAATCCAGGAAGGAGGGGNCTCTTGCATCATACAGTCTTGCTCAATATTGTAAATTATTAAATTAAAGCAGGTTTATTCACCTGAGTGAACAATGCGTGACTGTTTAGGCTGAGTGTTTTCAAATGACTGTTGTTGACTCGTGACAATCTGCTGGACTCCTCCATTGTTTCCCTCAGAATCCTCTGGGCCCCTTGAGGCAGGGATCCGAAATGCCTTGGGCCTATCAAATCGTGCACGTGGGGACACCTTGTCTTTTGTGTCCCAGATCTTAAGCTCCAAGGAATGGCTGAATAGCCCGAGGAGCACATCCTTGGTAATTGTTACAGTGTGGCTAAAATGAAATACAGTTGACACTTTAATCTGAAGTTGTTACATTCAAAATGCAAGACACGTGTTCATGTAGAAGTGCAAAACATGCAGTTTAGTATTTGTGAAAAAATGTGAGGTGAAAACCAGCGGTTAATTGCCTTAGCCTGAATAACCTTCTGTGGAGCAGGTAAGGATATTTTCTGGAACTGTATATAATGAGCTCAAAGAGCTAATGTAGCAGTTTGCACGCATACCGGGCCTATCATGCTGGATAGTGTTGCATACATGCACACTGTAACATCATAAGTGAAAAATGCATGTAAGACATGGTGTAGTACATGTACGAGCAAAGGGGTGTGCAGTGACATTGAAGCTGTTTGCACACATTGCATGCCCACAATCTTAGACACTGAAAATTCAGCTTGCTACAATGGGCTATTCCAGAAAAAATCTGTACCCCACTACCCCCCCAGACAGATGGATTTCTGTAAATTCTCTCAGGTGGTGGGGATCAAAGGCTATGGAAATCCAGGAAGGAGGGGGTTGAACCTAGACAATCTTCTCCAGGGGTCATTTTCAACCAAATTTAATCTTGAACTTTTAGATCTGGAAATCCAGGCGGAGGGGGGTCTAGTGTTTCAAGAAATACAGGTGGGAGGGCGAGGGGGTTAAAAAAAGTGTGCCCATCCTTAGGGTGTGTGGATTTTTTTTCTGCAAATTATATCCCATTTAACCAACCTGTGGGTCCAGGTAACCCAGGTCCTATCGCCATCACGCCAAGTCTTCAACACCTTTGAATCGCTCTCAGTATAGATCTTGGCTGCGACGCCATAGGTAACAACATCAGCTTTGACTGGATCAGGGTCATTGGGAAAGAGTTTGTATTCCAGGTGGTAGTAGTAATGTGGTTTTGGTGCTTCAAATAATTTACGTTTCCCCTTGAAACCTTGAACTCCACGTGTGACAGGTTTAGGGTCAGTTTCATCTGAACAACAGAAACACACACAGATAATGTTCAGTCTTACAATTAAATTAAATATGGCTCACTTTGCAAACAAGGATGGTGAACCAAATCCTGAGATGTGCTTGGCTACGCAAGCAGTTGAGATGGGGCTGTCAACTGTATTCCACAAGAAAATATTGCCCTGTATATGATATAATCCTTGACCGAGCTTGTCTGGTCAAGATGATCAGATATCGGCCCTGCAATTTTGTTTTTGCATGTCTATGGGCTTCAAGTGTGTCTTGGTCCATTAACATGCAAAAGATCTCAAGGCCAGTTAATCCATCCAGCCATGTCCCCAGCCAGGATTCAAACCCAGACCATTCAATCCAGAGATAAGGGCACTAACCATGAGGTCATCGCACCTCCCATGACACAGCTGATTAACATGCATTTTTGTATCACCAAATTTTAGACCTTAACATAAAAT